CTATATTTGTTACTGCAAACCTGTCTGGGGAAATCTGAAATAAAGATAGCAGAGGACAAAAGAAAAAACCCAGAGGACAGAAACTACAGAAAGGGCAAAGAAAAGCATCAATTCTAGCACGACTAGAAGAAAAGGCTTTCTCCTGACATATCAAGGTTTGAGACCTACTCCAAAAAGCAGCAGAGAGGATTAAAATTCAATGTGTTTGATCTGACCAAGCATTTTCTGAGGAACACACACAGCAAAACAACTGGAAACATCTAGGGACAGCTTTCAGGCAGGTAAAACCCACTAGCAGGCACAGAAAGCGAGTTTGTTTAGCTTCAGCCAGCTGCTCTGGTCCTCTGCAAGGCTGCTCAGAGCCACCAGTCATCAAGTCAGACGCAATGACGTCCACCAGACAGACACCCTGGCTCCAAGCAGCTGCAGGACAACACAACACAGAGGTACACATTCCAGTCCCAAATATTAGACTACTACACAGGTAACCACAGAGTTAATGAAAGAAGACATTGCTCTGTCATTCTCCTAAACTTTTAGGAAAGAAATGTAGGTCACTTACTCACAGGCTGAGCTTTTCACAGTTTACACTGTTCCTTCCCTCAAATTCTAGCAGGCATATAAATATTTAAGAAAAAAAATCTTTTCTATATTTTATGTGAAAGACTGTCATGTAAACTTCTTTTTTTTTCAGATGAAGGCATCCAAGCTATGGAAAAGACCTGAGGAACTTCTGAAGTTTCTCCTCTTCAGCCTGCACCCCAGCAGTATTTTCTTTAACTTTATAGTACATACATATACGTTATACTGCATTCCAATGGGTTAAACACTGTGGTATTTATTTCTAGACACAAAGGATACCATATGTGGTTTTAATCGGTGACATTTATCTCTCTTGCAGCCACATTTTTAAAATATGATACATACCATATTCTGGTCATTGCTTATATAGAATACATTATATATCTTTACATATGTACACATGCATTTATCTCGAACAATGGATAAGACTTTGTCTCTGAATCACCTCCACCACAATAAAGCACATACCATGCAAACAGGTATGAGAACAGAAAAACAGCTCCCTCTTAATGAATTTGAGCAAAACTGCAAAATGAGAAGCCTGTGATAATGTGAAGAACTTATAGCAGAGAGTAACCATCCAGCTGGCCTTCCAAAAACAGTGCTCAGCAAGCTCATTTCAGCAACAGGGTGAAACTGTTAACACGCTCAAACCATTTGCTTTAATTTGTGTGTTCCCGTGGTGGAACTATGGACAATAGGTTACATGATTTAAAATGCATCTGCCTACACGTGTCAGTTGAGAAACATTTACACATATGCTCATTTTAGCCAACAGTCAAGGGTATCCATCACACAAGCTGCCAGGCATCTTGGCTACCCTGGGCTAGCACATGCCCTGGGCTAGTCAGCAGAAGTGCTGCTCTGTGCAAGTTTTTAGAGCAGGGAGGGCAGAAAGGAGGCCAAAGCCCTAGGCTGGATTTGACACACTGGCCAGACCAGGCACACCACTGAAGTGATGTGCCCTCTCTAACTCAAGCAGTGCCACAAGAAGCCAGCTCCAGTGCCTCCTCAGCTAGGAGCACAGTGCACCAGTTTGTAAATTGCGCAGAGCCATCTCTGGTCAGACCAAATAATCAGTCACAACTTTTTGTCCTTCAGTACAGTTTGGGAACTGCCCTGTCTCTGAAGCAGTACAGTCATGTTCACATGGTGCTGCAGCTTGCCTAACAACCCCTCTTTTGCCTGCCTTCACTCAGCTCTGTGCCCTCGCCTTTTCCCTTCCCAATGGCAACCCCTCTCCCAGCCCCACATCTCCTACCCCAACACAGCAATACCCCTCTCATACACACTCCATTCTCCCCCACCCTTGCAATACCAGCTGGTTTGGGCAGGTGAAGAGCAGCACACTCAAGTGGCCACGACCGTGCTGAAAAGGAAAGCCGTAATGCTGTGGACTGCACGGTTGGCACGCAGGCTCCGCTATCGAGTCCTGCCAGGCCAGGCTCTGCACACTGGTGTCAACTTGGGTTGGCACGACATGGGCTGTTGTACCTGGTTTACCATTGTGTCAGTCACCCAAGGAATTCCCAGACACCTGCTACCAAAGATAACACAGAATTGACTCTATTATCATCCTTTTGCCCCTCTCAGCCCCTTAAACATCTAGCTTAGGAACAAAGTATCTTTATAGATACATGCCAGCCATCCCAAATCTAACATATGCGCTCAACAAGAGAAGTAATAGCTACAAATCAATGCAAAACACATGCCTGCAACTTCAAAACATGATTAAAAACAACCAATCTCAAAGGGAAAGGAGTACTTAATGAGGGCTTGCAAAGTGATGTAAAACAAATGTGAAAAATCTCAAAACAAAGAAAATCAGAGCTGATTCATGTCAGAGATGAGACACCCAAGAAACAAATTAAGGGATTCAACAGGAAGTCTGAATAACAGCATCAAGCATTTTCGAAGCACAGAAGTACTCCTTTACTGCTGCTGACAACTATCTCTTCCTAATGCAGCAATCACTCTCAACACTGGATTTAGCATGTTACTACAGCATTTATGCATCTTAAAGCCACTTTCCATCTGCCGTGTGGGTCAGAGCTGTGGGGAAACAGTCAAAATTGTTTTAAGATTCAGGCTGAAAGCCACCAACAGTGAGGAGGACAGCACCCTCATACTGGGCTTGTAGTTCTTCATCTATTTTGTGGCAGAACTCCAAGTTATTGGGGTACTGTACTTCACATGTTCTCGTTGCCATAGCAGAAGGAAAACATGCTCTGTCTCCAGGTAACGGGAAACAGTAATTCTTAAAATACAATTTTTCTTTTACATTTAAGTTAATTTTAATAATTCTTGGCTACAATGGGACAAATTACTTTCCAAAACAGTTGCACTTCTGTACACTTCGTCTTTATTAGAATATTTTGTTAAAATTATTTCAATATTCTACGCAAACAAAGTGTTTGCATAGTAACAGAAAGCAGAGGCACCTTCCTGGGATCAGATTTTGGCTTGTTTTGCTTATCATCTCCATGCTTTTATTCAAGGTACAGCTGGAATGACAGAAAACCACAGCTTGTTATGACGATGACTTCAAAAGGTTTTAAACTGCCTGCTCTCTACATCAAAACCAGTTTTTCTTCATAACTGCAACTATGGCTTATAAATGGGCAAAGGATGCAAAATAAGTTTATCTGGTGAGAAACAAAAAAAGTTCTAAAATTAAAGGT